AATAAAATCTGTTATCAGTCGGTTAGCGTTAACCGACACTTTACCGGACATTGTAAGAACGGCCCTAAAAGTAATAAGTAGCTATTAATGATTTAATGCATATTTAACTAATTATTTATCAGCATGTATTCTCCCGTCTTGCAAGTAGGTATCAATTTCAGCGGATCTTAATTAAATTTTTAAATGTAATCTTTAATCTTTGTTAGTTTTAATATTAGAGTGATTAATATTTTTTAAAACTATTGATGCCTATAATGATAACTCCTGAACGGGCTACTGAATGAAAAAGTGATATCTTTCACACTTGTAAGACACACTTGTAGGCAACACATGCAGATGAAAGGTTTTTTTTTAAAAAACAATTTTAATGATTTTTTTTAGCTTCATGTTTTCTAAAAATACTCGGATAATGTCGAGCTTTGGAGCAACTTTAGAACGTATGCAATTTATTTTATTTTGTACTTATTAGTTATTGAAACATGATATGGGGAGTAGTCCTTTTGGTCATCCAGTGTCCACAAATATTTCAATTTATAATATGAAATCCCAGCCCTGTCCCCTATACTCTGGTTTTAAAAGCCCAGGCCACCTTCATATTCTCTATGCAAAAAGTAAATTTAAGAAATATTTGTAAATCAAGGCACAGTCTCTCTTTTGTATAAATATTTGTGATTTCATTAATGTTCAGTATTGTGTATAGTTAGATTGGGAAAACATAAGACAATACCATTTAGACAAGACTGTGACTAACACAATCATGCTTTTATAAAAGTTTATGATGTAGGTACCTTCTATTTTTTGATTTAATCTTCTTTTTTTTTCTGGTACTTTGGTGGACGGCACTTGCACCATGGCCCCTCGATATAGTAATGAGGCGACCAGGCCCATCTCTTTTAGATAAATTATTAAATACCAACTCAATTAAGTCTTCCAATTTACATTTTACATTTATATTATGTAGATATGATATTTATGGACAGCACTTGCACCATGGCCCCTCGATATAGTAATGAGGCGACCAGGCCCATCTCTTTTAGATAAATTATTAAATAGGTACCTACTCAATCAAGTCTTCCAATTTTCATTTTACATTTATATTTTGGGATAATTTGAAGAAAAATTTGAAATTAAAGAGAGACTGTGTGAAGTAAGAAAATATGTGGTGTGACTTGTATATTTGAACACGTCTTGTTATAATGTATTATATTAAACTTTAGTTAATTTTTAATAATGTACTATAATAAACATTTGAACAATTATTACAATAAAAGTATTTTATAGAGAAACCTGGGTAAGACGAGGAATAGAGGTAGGATGGGACATCGTTGTATCTCAAAAACTATTGATTGTTGGGAAAATTTTTTTTTACAAAAAATGTGCTATGCTGGTCACACTTTAATAATATTATTTAATACCAACAAATAATTAAATTGATACGGTGCACGTGCGTATTCAATATAACGGCCATAGGCAATGTAAAATTTTGCAGAATATGGACATCATATAATCTGGGACATCACTATTATTACAACACCGTTGCCAATATGCTTAAAAGGTTTTTATATTTTAGGTTCATTCGTTAGAAAACTAAATAGGTACCTACCTACCAAGTGTATAATAAAGAATTTTTTTTTGGTATACCAATTTTAATTATTATTTATTAATTTAAACAGTTTTTAATAAACGCGTTTTCATTCAGTATTTTTTCGAATTTTAAGTGCATATTTTTGAATACTTCAGTGCATATTTTAAATCATATTTTGCTTGTTTTTAGTGCATACATGTGTAATATATAACACTTTTTTTAATGAATTAAATTCACAGCCCTGCTAATTACTTTTACTTCTAATCATACCTACCACAGTTAATGTTAAATGTTAAATTGTCAACAATCAACTGCTTCTTCAACTTGATAACACTTATAAGGGATGTCAGATTTTTAGCGCACCATTTATTTCTCTCTCTGACCCACGCACAATCATATTTACGTTTGACAGAATCAACCAGAGCCGGTTCAAGGACTTAATTTCGTACAGGCATAAATATATATTTATAAGTAATTTATAGTTGATAGGCCAACCTAAACTCCCAAACACAAATATTTTTTTTGCTTTACTGTTCAAAATTGAATACCAAAAAAATTTAGATTTTCTTTACTTTTTTAATAAAATAGAATTTTTAGATTCTGAGTGAAACGATGAATGTATTGATTTTACAATGATGTGTGTTTTTTTATTTTTTAATTTTTTTATTTTTTTATTTTTTTTTTTTGTATCTGTGTACACGATAAGTAGTCGAAATAATGCTTCGATTTTCGACTTCAGTATCTTGTTCGATTGGAAAGTGAATATCGTTGGTGCATTAAGGAGGTCAAAATTTAAATTTCCCAGTAGTTTTCACAAGCGCCGGGAAAAACAACATAAAAATTAAGGAAAAACAGGAATTTTTACGCAAAATTGATTTTCCAAAAAATCGATTTTGGTTATTGGTGTAACTCTAAAACAAATGAACGTATATACATGAAATTTTCACTGGTTGTTTATATTTGCATTTCCTATACACGATAACATTTTCAAAATATTTTGATTTATTTTGAACTGTTTAGGGACATTTTCATTTTTCGTTTTTTTTTAGTTTTTTTTCTAGAAATATCAATAAAATTTTATTTGTTGGTTGCGAAAGCTTGAAAATTTAATAGAAGGCTCCTAATATATTGTTTCAAAGGCAGATGAAAAATATTAAAAATCCTTAGTCACAATTTTTTTTTATAAGCATTTAAAGTTCAAAAATTGACAAAATATGGAAAAATCACGAAAATTAGCAAATTATTTTGAGTTAAGAATTCGTAAAAATTTTTCTTTTTAAATCTAAGATTTGAAAATCTAATACAAGATTACTCATAAGATTGTCTACCTTTATCAATAAAAAAATCTCTACCGGAAAGTCAAATTAAATTTTTATGAGCGTTTGAAATTCAAATTTTTACAACATTGGATATTCACTCGATTTCTCATGTGGCAATTTCCTTTTTTTGTTGTAATTAAAAAACGAATTACTGTAAATACATGAAAATTTCACTGAATGTTTATATTAGCATTTCCTATACACCATACAATTTTGAAAATATTTTGACTCTTTTTGAGCCGTTTACGGACATTTTCAGTTTTCAATTTTTTTAGTTTTTTTTTTCTATAAATATCAATTAAGTTTTATCTGTTGGGCCAAAAAGTGTAAAAATTTAATACAAGGCTCCTGATATATTGTTACAATATCAGTTGAAAAATATTAAAAATACATAGGCACAATTTATTTTTATAATCATTTTAACATCGAATTTTGACAGAATTTTTCAAAATCTCGAAAATTATTAATCATCGTAATTAATAAATTATAAAATGTTCAGTTTTTATAGCTAAGGATTGAAAATTTAAAACAAGATTCCACGTAAGTAGTTAATTCTCTTACCGAAATATCTAAAAAATATACAATCACAGTTTACTTTTATAGTCATTTTATGTTCAAATTTGGACGAAATTACATATTAAAAAACCTAGTTATTTTGTTGTGATTATATAATATTATTCGTGGGTACCTACTTGAAACTTCTAAAGTGTACTATTATATATATATGATAGTATCAGGGTTTGTTGTTGATGTTGATGTATAACGTGTTATAAGTACCTAATGGATATTGTGATAATGTGATATGATTAATTTGGAATTTATTATAGGTCAATTTTTTTTTTAATACCATAGATATGTATATAATTTGTATTAAACCTAGACTGACATACCGTCTTCGCTCAGAATCGTTTTTCTTATACAATGATATTGTATCATTGAATTCAAATTTAATAGCATCCATTATACAGTGACCCACTTGTAACCTACTGTACAGCAGAGCGACATCCACTTATTTTATGTTGAATATATTATATAAAATTGTAAAAAATCGTATAATATTATATTATTAAATTATTCTTGTATATAATTTAAATATTATTAAAAACGAAAATTAGTTACTTGATTAGTGACTATATAACGAAAACTGATAAGTTTAAAAAATATTAATGAACTATTTTATTTTTCGGCTAATAATGATCGCCTTACCCGTACGCTAGAAATCACTGGGTTAGTGTTGTTAGTTGTTACTTTTAATATTAGATTGAATTAACCTATTATCAAACTTGAATATTTTAACACATTTCACTGTTGGATTAATATTTTCCTGGGATAATATTTTAGTTTTCATTTATTTTTTTCGTATTGCATATATTGTTATACTTTAAGTATTAATAATGAATATATAGATATTTTTATTTTTTAGTAGATTAATTATAGTTTTTTTTTCTTTAGATTTGTCTAATCGTTTATAATCATTTTTAAATTGTAATTATTTAGACGATCATTAGTCATAACTTATATAATAATTAAAATATCATCAAGTAACCAACGTAACGACGTATGTAATTTTCTTAACTTAATATTTTTAATCTAACATTAAAAGTAACAACTTCGTTTTGGTTCTGTTATTCGTACATTAGGTATGCTACGTGTGGATCAAAGATGGAAAGCAAATAATGCGCTGACCATAGATATACAGGGCCTTATTAAGGGACAATGTATGGGGGAGCAAACATAAATATAATCGAATAACAAGCTACGTAGTCTCAGTAGTCAGTACTGCAATATAATGGTAGGTGGCAATATCGTATAATTGGTCAGCTCCCGTTTCGCCGCCATTTAATTTCGCCGCGGTACCGTTTCGCCGAATTTATTTTTTCGCAGTTCCATTTCGCCGAATTTATTTTTTAAGTAACTCTTTAACTCTCAACTTAAGATTACTCAACAATTATTCATTGTTTTATTTGTAGTTAATAAGTAATAATAATATTTTCAAATGAATCATTAATTCATCAATTGATAATACTCATAATAATATTATCCCAAATCTGCAAAATAATTTGATTTTTTATACTATTTTTTTTTTTTTAATTTTCCTATTGTAGTGACGTGAAGTGTGAACTATGAGATTGTGATGCGTGGTAGATAACACCAGTGATTGAACGCATTGATATTTGCATAAATGCATAATAATCATGACTGTCAGAACTAGTAAAAACTCTTAGAACAATAAGAACATCTATTAGAAGCACTTGCATTTTTTCATTGTGTACTTCTAAAGGAGCGAAATGCGAAGATATTGATGATGGCGAAGAAGAACCGAACAACCACGAGTCGATTTTGTTAAGTATAGACCAGTCGAAAATAAATGAAAATTCTTCAGATACTGAAGAATCGCTTTCCATTTCTGTAAATTCAACATCCAGTACAAATTCTTCAAATAAAGAATATTCAGAATCGAAGGTGAGTTTAGAAGATTGTTCCGTTACATATTTTGCTGGCTATTTAGCATTTAAATGTATAAAAAAATTTAATTGTAAATATTGTGAATGTCAATAAGTAACTGAAAAATTATTAGATGAAAAAAATCAACTATTAATATTGAACAAGAACTATTCATCTTTGGACACTGGACTTAAGGCTCTGACAAAAGATTTCAATAATATAATTGATAGAATATTAAATATTTTTGAAAAAAAATTTGATAATCTCCAGCATAGAAAAAAAATTAGGCAAAATTTAACGCAAAGAATACAAAATTGTGATATTATAAATACATGGATTAATATTAATATCAATTGTGTTAATCATAAATTATATATCATAAAATTACTTTTAATTTGTAAAATATTTAAAAAAACTCAACTATATGCAACAACATCTAAATTAGCTAAGATTGAAAATTAAAAATTTTAAGTCATGTTTAAAAAAGTTAAATTTTATAATTTTTTTTTATTATTAATTGTTATAGAATTATTTTATAATAAACATTATAAAATAGATACATTTTAGATTTATAATATTGTAATTTTAAATTGTGTAAATATTGTTCTTATAAAAATGAATGTTGGTAAAAAATGTTATGTTATTTTCATAGATTATATTATTCTCAAGTAGGTAGTGTGATAGAAATGTTGTTTTATTGATTATAGAAATAAGAATTATTTTTTTTGTATTGGCATAATAATTATTGACAAGATATGACAAATATATTATTATCATTTTAATAAATGAAAATATTATTAACTGTCAATCAATATTTTGTATATACCTTCGAATTACAATTATTTTTTATAAATTGAAAGTAATTTTTAGTTTAAACGTAAATAATAATATCAATATTATGCGTAGTAAATTTAATTTTATCATTGTATTGTAATTCAATAAAAATATCAAATTACAACAAATTATACTGTAAACTGATTTATTTGTAATTAAAAAATAAATAAATACCTAGCCAAAAAATTAGAAATTAGAAATTAGTTAATAATGTTTTAACCGTTTTTATTGACGTTTATACGATATTAACTTATAATATGTATAACGGCGAACGAACTGGGAGGACTGATAATATAATATATAGATATATTTTTAATCGTGGCCCCAGTCCACAGACCATTGTCGTTGACACCGCGCGACAGCCGTATGCTCGAACGCTGTGGATTCTTATTTTAATTAATAGTTATTTACAAATACATCAACGACACCTATCGAGCGCCGATAACACTAAAGTGTTTGCTTCCATTTCGTCCTATAGCACGGCTTATCTGTATATTATAAAATCAATGGTATTACCTATTAATTGTTATACCTTTACGTTTTATAATAGGTATACGTATTGAAATTTTTTGTTAAACGATAAATATTTCTGATAAATATTTCTCTGTGTCTATTTATCACTTTTCAAATCACAAATTCATAACCATGTTCTAAGACAAAAATAATTTTATGCGGCGAAATGGCTCGGCGGCAAAATGGGATTAATTTTGTGGCGAAATGGTACCGCGGCGAAATTAAATGGCGGCGAAATGGGATACGACCGTATAATTCTGGCAGTTCGGTGCCCCGGCGGCTATTATATTACAAACGACATTTTTTTGCAACTCTTAATTATTTGGCCGTCCCTGCCGCATGGAGCAACTGCTCCTTTCCCCCCCCCCTCCCCCGAATTCCCGGTTGGGATGTCATCGCCATAGATATATACAACAGCTAGATAGCCGCCTTTATATTACACTTGTGACCAATGTTGAAATCGGCCGCCATTTATAAAGCAGGCAATGTTTACATTTATTTATATACATATATACTATGATAATATTATTTTGTAAACATTGCCTGCTTTGTAAATGGGGGGTCGACTTCGATGACAAAAAGGAGACGGCTATCTAGTTGTTGTATATATCTATGGCGCTGACATCCTAACCGGCAACCGATCTTTTTTATTCTATCCCATAAGTCAAGGTTGTAAACCTATATCTACTGATAACGGTAGTTTCAGCCAAAGAGTCAAGTGACCTTTGCAATTCAAGATCCTTTACTACGTATTCGGCATTGTTAACATAACTATTCTACCTTCACACTTTTTCTTCCCCCTTCTCTCACAACTATTCAGGTTCAACCACTCTCATCCCACACCTCCATATGATCGGTATTCTGTCTATCCATCTTTTCTTCAGTCCCTAACTTCTATAGCCACTCTCACTATATTTTATCATACAGTCAAGGAGACACCTAAACCTGTTCTCTCTTGTTTTCACTACAATATATGCCACAACACAACACTACACAACCTTTAATTTCCTATTCTATCCTCCTTTGTACCTCAACACCTAACTTAATATTCTCATATCTGCTACACGCACTTCGCTAACCTAACCTAAAATTACATTTCTTTTTCGCATTTCCCTTACATATAAGCTAAACATTCTGAAATCCTGTTGACCTCTTTCCTTATCTTCGCCACATCATACACTTCCTAATTATTCCTATTCACTCAGTCTCTAGTTACCTACAAGTCATCGTACTTGATTATCGATGAAAATATTTAAATATCATTGAACGAATTATCTACTCAAAAGAAGTACCTACATATCAATAATAGCATACCTGACCAATTTCCTAATTTTTATCACGACTTTATTGATAGCCAGAATAAAGTAATACAAATAATTGAAAAGTTGTAGGCAATAATATATCCCCTGATCAATTAACAAAAATAAAAAGAAACATACTGAAAAATAAGAAACTACATACCCCGCGTCCGTGGTGAATCAAAATCTGCTATAAAACTTGGTCTTCGAAACACTGCAACGTCCTCACATTTCAGTCTGCTTATGATATATTTTATTCCCAGCTAACAAATCTTCACTGACGAATTAAATACCATTTCTGAAATAACACGCAGCCTGCAGTAAAATGTTCAACAATATTCTTATGACCTAAACGTCACGGATATTATATTTTTTATTTATAATGTTTAATTTGTATTACACCTACCTAACTATTATGTGTTAGCAAGCCCAGATTAAGGATCAATTGGGCCCCGAGACACCATACACTAATTGGGCCCCCTTTCAACTTTAACTTCAAAATAATTGTATTATTACATATTAACGACTTTATATTATTGTATAATTTTTTACTATGCAAAAAATTAAAGAGTGAATCTTACGTCATAGTACCAGTGGCGTATTTACGATTTTGGTGCCCCTTATTTTCTCAGTTTCCTTTTATTCATTATCACAAAACACTTTTAAGCCACCTTTAATTTAAAATTTACTTTAACCGGTATTAAATTCAATACCGACTCGAAGAAAATTGGATACCTGTATAATAATTAAAAACTGAAAATATAATTTAAAAAAAGGTATTTTTTTTTTTGAAAATCTTTGTATCTTGACATTTTTGAAAGTTTACTTTACACAAGCGATCGGACGCTAATAAAAAGTCAACCATTATAATAAAATAAACAAATTATAATTTAGATTTCAGCCTTTTAGCCTTTTTTTACAACAATTTAATAAAATACATATATATATATAATATAGAAATATGAAATATATTACTTATTAACTATGATCCTCGAAAGTTTAGTATAATATGCGTTAATACTTTTAACTGAAATACCTAATTTACAAGAGCTAAATATTTATAACTACCTAGGTATATACTTAATAGTTAAATCAGTAATCGAAAATACTCAGAAAAAAAAACTTAATGAAAATTGTGTTTACCAATACAGTTCATTATTTATAGTAATTTTTCATGATATCAAATTGAGAACAATTTTATTTTATAATTATTATTTATTAAGTAATAATAATTTATCTACTGCCTATAGGTACCTATCTACTTCAATAAATATAATTTTTTAAATGTATTGGAAGCGTTAAAAAAATATATTTTGGGGATAAAGATGGTCCCCAAAAATCAATGGGCCCCGTTACCGTGACACCCTTGCCCCCCTTAATCCGGGCTCGTGTGTTAGTTTGTATTTTAGAGTGGACTACGGGAGCAATGAATATTTTGATTTTACAATGATTTGTATATGATTCTCGTATAACGATTTTCTTATTTTGTTGTTATTCAACAACTATTAACTATCGGTATTTAAAATGTCCATCAAATGTTTAAAATATCATAATATATATTATATAATGTTCAAAATATTTCGACTAGTTATCAGTGATTTATAGACATTTGAATTATGAAATGTTTTTAGTTCTGTATTCTATGAATTTTATTCGTTGGGTCAAAAAGCTTAAAAATAATACAAAGTTAATCGTAAGTTGATATAATAGCAGTTAAAAAATATTAGAAATATACAGGCACGTTTTTATTTACGGGCATTTAAAATTCAAATTTCTACAAAATTCATCATAATCTTGACAATTTTCAAAATATTTTGTAGTCAGATATTCATACAAAAATTTCTTATTTGTTTATCTATAATATGAAAATGTAATAAGAGTTTATTCATGAGTAGTTATAATAGCAATTGAGAAACAATTAAGATCCATATAAGATCCATTTTTTTAAGAAATTAAAGTTCAATTTTTAACAAAATTTATCAAATTGATAGTTTACAAACTCCTATTTAGTAGTAAAATTTATAAAATGTTCAACTTTTATTGGTAACGATTGAAAATGTAAAACAAGAATTCTCAAAAATAGTTCATAGTGAGTGTTCATACTCTAACAAAAAAAAACTAAATAATTTATTAAAGACACAGTTAATTTTCACAGACATTATAAGTTCAAATTTGGACAAAATTACTTATTAAAACAAAGAATAACGATTTTAGTTATTTTGTTGTAATTTAAAAATAGTAGGTGTTCTTGGATTTATAAAACTTTTAAGGCCGTTCTTACAATGTCCGGTTAAATTTAACCTACACATAACCCG